ACCTTCCCTCCTCTTACTTGGTCTAGTATGAGGGGCAGATCACTAACATCAGAAGTTGTCTGACTGGAGAATGAAATACCTGTATCCCGTCCTATCTGCACTTCTAGCTTTCCTTGTTGAGCTGGATTCAGAAGCTCCCAACCAGGCCAGAAGCTCATGCCAATGAGTCTTCCCATCTTTATATAGTTCAGGCATGTGGGTATAGCATGTTGCTAGCAGGGTAAATTCAACTCCCTCTTATAAATGCTACAGATATGTGTCTGGGGGTTCCTTGGGGACCTCCTCTAAGATGCTGAATTCAGTGGAGTACAAACATGATTGATGAACATTGCTGAGATACTTCTGACAATTGCTTTCAGTTTTAGGTCATGTCCTTCTTTCTGAAGCAACAGAAGGTCCCATTCAATATTTTTTTAACCTTTGTAAATGTGCAAACCAGGAATAACCCAAATGTCAAAAGAAGAGAAGTTGAATAAATTATACTATCCATATAAGTAAATATCATTTAGTGTTATAAATCATGATCCAATTCTACATTTATCGACACAGAAAGATTTTCTTGATTTATTGCTAAGTGAGAAATGTTAGTTATAGGATAATATGTTTCTGTCTACTCATATTTACTATTGTATAAAAACTGGTTTGGAGTAATAGATATCAAAACAGAATCATTCTAAGTCAAGGGTCGGCAAACTATTACCTGTGGGCGAAATCTAGCCTGTTGCCTGTTTTTGTAATGAAGTTTTATTGAATCACAGCCAGGCTGGTGGCTGCTTTCCTGCTATAACAGCAAAGTTTAGTGGTTGCAACAGAGACAGAATGGCTTGCAAAGCCTAATATATGTACCATCTGGTACTTTACAGAAAAAGTTTGCCCACATTTATTTTAGGTAATGGACTCATGGGTAATTTTAATTTTTAAAAAATTTTTATCTGAGTTTATTTTCTACATTGAGCATTAATTTATTGTGCAAAATACATATCTGTTATTAAACCATTGAAACTTAGGTTAGAAAAACTTACTATTTGAGGGCCGGTCCCGTGTTGTGATTGTTAAGTTTGGTGTGCTCTGCTTTGGTGGCCCAGGTTTGCAGGTTCAGATCCTGGGCGTGGATGTACACCATTTGTCAGCCATGTTGTGGTGGCGACCCACATATAAAGTGGAGGAAGATTGGCACAGATGTTAGCTCAGGGCTAATCTTCCTCAAGCAAAAAAAGAGGAGGATTGACAATGGATGTTAGCTCAAGGTAAATCTTCCTCACAAAAAAAAAAGAAAAAAGAAAATCTTACTATATTAATTACATTAAACTCAAGTTTTAAGTGGAATCAGAAAAATTTGATTATAGTTTCCAAAGTTCTACTTCAAAATATAAGAACTACAATGTGGAATATTAATTGCATTTAAAAGTAAGACCTATATCTAGACATGGCTCTTTTAGTTACCAACAGGATTAGTTTCTGAAAACTACTATCAGAACTTCTGGCATGTTCTTTTCATCTTCTGGGTTAGCATATTAGTCCTCTGAGGCTGTGTTTGAGTAATATAGTGCTAAGTTTGATAAATAGGTGGGTTAATTTGAGTAAAGTTTTTGGAGTAAAAAATAAAGGTGATAACTGAATATTGAAGACTGATTTCCTTCACATGTTATATATGAGATATGAAAACATTTCCAAAAAGAGAGGTTTTCAGAATGTTTAGAGCTTTAGAAAATAAGTGAATCAATACGGAACCTCCCAAGAAGGCTGCTTTGAAGAACTAAATTCACTTGGATGCATAAATTATGAATATTTATTACAAAGGGCAATTCTGATGTAGCTAAGTAAATTTTGCTTCAAAATCCTGTAGGGTAAAGCCTTAAAAAAGGTGTGTGAATAATCAGGAAATAATTAAGACAGTCAGAAGACCGGCTAATTAACATTAGGTGAGGGAATACTTGAAAATGGAATTTGTATTAACCAGAAGTTCCAGATGACATGCATCTTTATTAAAAGAAACAGAAGTAAACAGTACATTAATTAAACTTTCAAATACACAAAATAAGGAGGCTTTAAAAATGCCAGTAATGAAGGCGAAATAATATAATGGATTTGGATGAAAATATCAAGCAATTAAAATGAGATATAATAAAATAAGGCTTTGAAGCTTATAAATTTACACATCCAGAAAGGATGCCACAATTTAAATATATTACTGCATCAGTGAATTTCCTGCTTTTAGGATCTGTCTTATTGACTAGCTAGTATTAATCCAATGGAACAATTCTCTGAATATTTCCAGAGTCAAAATATATCCCTAATATCCTCAAAGATTAAGACTCTGGCTTATCTAGGGATAAAAACTAACTAAATATTAGTCATGTAAATGTTAAACACACCATACCTCTTAGTATTTTTTAAAAGGGAAATGGCTACCCTTCCTATCTATTTTAATAGTTTTAAGATATCCTCTGCCTTTTGACTCAATCCACCTTTACAATTATATCTCCCATTACATCTAAATCTGACCTTCAAAACTCAGCCTAAACACCATTTCCTTTATGAAAAAGTCTCTTTCTTCCTAGCTAGAAGCAATCCTTTCCTGCTGTACGCTCTCATGCCTCTTACCAGTTTCTATCATAAACTGGAGATCTCTGAATGACTGTCTCATTTCCCCTGCTAAACTGTTACTTTCTTAAACTCTAAACCTACTCTATTTACTATTCTCTTCAATGTCTAGCACATTGTCAGCAATTAGCATATTGTTAATATGCATTTGTTAATGAATAAATAATCTTTTGAAAATGAGATATGAAAAGGAAATCTGTTTAATTTTTCTTAAAGAAATAGGGATATAGAGAAAAAGATGTAATTTCCTCCATCTTTTCAATGTAACCCAAATCAGATGATTGTTGAGTATGAAAGATATTTTCACTTAAGGCAAATATGCTTTAAAACTAAACAGTAATTGTAAAACAAAGCAACAGCTTTTTCACAGCTTCAGGTGACTATTGTACGCCTGTTATACTGTTAATGCCATATGAAGTCCTCCCTTTGTGCAGGAAGATTATCGCACCACACAGTGAACGGTTAGAGAAAAGATCATGTTCATTTATGCTACCCACTAATCTGTGGAACATTATTTAATTTTGATGAGCCTCAGTTTTCTCATCTTTAAGACAAGAATAATCATTTTGGATCTTACCTATTTCACAGGTTTGTTGTGAGAGATAGTAAGACAATGTAAGTGACAGCATTTTGTAAATTATAAAGTTCTGTGTACATGTAAGAGTGTATGAGGGAGATCAATATAAGGGACATTAAAATAGTAACATGAAAACATGAGAGAATGAATGAGTAAATGACTAAAACAGGTGAGATTATTTAGGCCAAATTTATATGAAATATCTTATGAAATGCTTGAAGCAAGGAAAGATTTTGCTGTGCAATAAGTTTCCATCACAAGAAACTGAGTAATTTCATAGGGGCAAATGTTAAGGTTACTGAATTATTTTGCTGCTTTGTGAGTTCTATAAAATTGCAAATTCAGAGAGACCCTTAGATGAGAGAGTTCCAGACCTGAAATAATCTTCAATCTAATTTACTTACCATGGCCACTTAGGAAGAATGATTTTCTTTCCTTCTCTCATACTATTGAGGTCAGTTTGGTAAAAGCCTAAGATCTTTTCCGTCATATTTCATGTCATCCTGAAGTTTTAATAAAGCTGCTGAAGAGGAAGTTTAGATTGTGGAACCCAAAGATAAAAAGGGATCTGAGCATTCATTTATTCCAAACACCACCAAGACCTGAATTCATCTATAGAATCCCTGCTATGCCTAGTTTTGAGCTGGATGGATCCAATGCAGGAAAAGGGATGGAAATCAACTGCTGATCCCTAAATCAATTAAGTAGAAATATGATCTCCTGTCATTTTTGATGTGTGTGAAAGTTGTAGTTGGCCCCATGTGAGGAACAGACAGACACTACCATGTTGCTCTTCCCCTAGTCACGCCTTCCCTCTTGGTCACCTAGGCCAAGGTACACAGTTCCAAATTAGCTAGAGCAATTAACAAATGAATTTTCAGTTTTAATTCCCTTTCTCTCTTAATGAGAGTTTATCAGCATATCTATAGACATTTTCTAAGAGCACCAGCTCTACTAGAATTAAACATGTAATGGATTTTGCTATTTCCTAAGAAGTTCCCGTTTCTTTCCCAAAGGAGCCATTGAACAGAGCCTGTCTTGAATAGCAAATGAACCCCGAAATGTTAGATTCCATTAAAGTCACTCTGACCGCTCTTATAGCCTGCACATGGGCTTTGGGGATCATAAGCATTTAGCAGCTACATGTTCAAAATGCCAAGATGTCTGTAAATGATTTGGCTAATCCTCCTATTGTGCTTATGGTTAATGTCATTATTTCAAACTTATGATTTAGACTGGCAGTAACTAATAAGTATAACGAATAGAATCTTTGCATGTTGCATTTTGGATAAATTGCATTGCCATTCAATGAGCAGCAAAAACTTAACTAATCATAATCAAAATTAACCATGTTTCTTCCCTCCCCTTTACCCCAAAGTTAAAATTTTAACCTTGGTGTAAAAATTGAATTTTAACTTTATATTCATGTCATAATTAAAACACGAATAGTCAAATGAAACCACCATTGCATGACTTATTTCATGTTACCATCATATGATGTAATCAAATTGGAAGGTAGCTGGTTTTCCCATATATTACAGACTTCCCTGGAGCAACATTTACAAGTCAAGGACATCAGACAGAAAGTTACCTGCTGCAAGTGGGAGGACAAAGTCATTTTTCATAAGTCATCATGCTTTGATAACCTGATATGGAAACTGATGGCAGGGAGTTCTTTTTCAATAAAGTTCAATGAACTGGTCTGTGCTGAAGTAAAAACTACACATGAAAATCAAATTTCTATTTTGAATTCCTGTAAGTTTATCTGTGTTTATATGATATATGAGGCTTTAATACTATCTCTCTGTATCTCTCTTAGAAGATAAAGGGAAGTTAAAGGTCACCACTTCCAGTCAGCCGTCAAGCTCTGAAGGCGGCTCATTTCTCCTCAAATCTGGCCCAACACCTCTGCCCCCTGGAGCAGCCACTTCTCCCTCCAAGAGTACCAATGGAGCTCCTGGTACTGTTTCTGAATCAGAAGAAGAAAAAGCCAAAAAATTACTTTATTGTTCACTATGCAAAGTGGCTGTGAACTCCCTGTCTCAGCTGGAGGCACACAACACAGGTCAGCAGCCATCGCTGGGATTTAAATAATGTTAATAACAAAACCCAACTCTGCCCATCAGAACACCATCTCTTTTGTTGTTCAAACATTAGGTTTGTTCAATGTCTTCTCTAGTTTTCTAATTCAAAGGAGTGATTCTCAGAAAAGTCTGATATAATCACTTTGGAAACAGCAAGGCAAAAGCAGGCTAGAGATAAAACTTGTTCCTTCTTTATTTTCTCAAAAGCATCTAATACTTCCCAAAACTCATTATGACGAAGTGACAGAAATGAAGACAAATATCTATGCCCAATGTTCACCGCAACACACTTATAAGAGAAAAAAATGGAAACAACCTAAAAGTCCCTCAGTAGGGAAATGTGGAATAAATCATAGTAACCCAATATGATGGATGATATTACTCAGCCATTAAAATGTAATTATAGGAAAATATGTGTATGATTTGATATGTAAAATTTTCAGGATATTTAATTACCATGATCCCAATTTTGAAAATTTTTTCAGTACACCAGAAAAAGAACCTGAAAAGAAATACACTAAAATGATAACAGTGGTTATCTCTAGATGGTAAAAATATAGGTAATCTTTATTTTCTTTTTTATATAGTCATGTTTTCCCACTTTTTACAACGAAACTGTGTTAAACTTATAATCAGCATTAAAATGGTCATTAGCAAAAAGTATTGGGAAATTCAGCCTGAAGATAAACTTCTCAAGGATAAGAAAACAAAGAGCTTCATTTAGTTCTTAAATAGCTATTTAATGTATGTCTCTTTCTATGTTAGGATCTAAACACAAGACCATGGTGGAAGCTCGTAATGGGGCTGGTCCAATTAAGTCCTATCCTAGACCCGGGTCAAGATTAAAGATGCAGAATGGCAGTAAGGGGTCAGGACTACAGAACAAGACATTTCATTGTGAGATCTGTGATGTTCACGTTAATTCAGAAATTCAGCTCAAACAGGTAGTGTATCTTCAATTGGTCATCATTGTTGTTTGGGGTCACCACTTGACTGTGAATCTTCTAATCTATATAATGATTCTCAACTGTGCTCACAGTTAAATTTACTAACCTTTCTAGGATGCATACAATATACAACATGCAGGTGCTATGTGGAAGAAAAAGTACCAAATATTTGCGCACCTACTATTACTGTATGTCAGATTCCAGGCTAGGTGTTAGAGATAGATGAGCACAGTGGTCACCTGGACCTTACAGTAGAGCAGGAACTTCTGGAAGATAAGTAAGATGTTCACCCTGTCTTCCAAGGACCCAAAATCTGGGTAGGGCATAGACTCATCAGTCAGGGCGTAGGCAAAATCGGCTAAGTGCTACGGAGGAAGGGAAGGGCAAGAGGCATGACAATTGAGTGGGGAGCAAGTCCTAATTTAGAGAGTGTGCTGATTTTACCCACGCCACCTTGGAACTAGGGACCTAGAACTGGAAATGGAGAAACCAGCTACCTCTCCCTAGGAAATACATTTTAAGTGGAATGAAACTCACATTTAGCTTCAGCTAATGCATCAAACTCTTTTCAGCACATTTCTAGCCGAAGGCATAAGGATCGAGTTGCAGGGAAACCACTGAAGCCGAAATACAGTCCTTACAACAAACTCCAGCGGAGCCCGAGCATTTTAGCTGTAAGTTCACCTCACCCACTCACCTGTTTGGGGGGCAGCCTTGCTGGCTTGCGCGGGGAGTGTAGGTAAGGAGAGCCTAGGGACTGACTGGTCCTGAAAGGTTTTGAATTTAAATAGCCCTCATAGAAGTTTTAATGAATTGCTTGTTTCCTGCTGTAGGACACTTGAAGGATGCTTCCTTAGAGAAGAGAAACTGAACCTCTTTAAGAGCTAATGCCTTACTCTTTACCAGGGCCTTTTGAATAAACTATATTCTTTAGCCTATAAAGAAAAGGCTCAGGAACAAGGACAAGTGGTGTCTGAGGCATCCTGGAATGTGTTGAACCTGGGAAGAGGGATTGCTTTCTTGAAACAAAAATCCATCTATTTAATATCCTCCTCCTCTCTGGCTCGCTTGCGCTCTCTCTTTCTGCTGCCAGAAAGTGAAGTGGGTGTTTGTATTGCTCTCTCTTTCCAAGTCTAGCAGGCATGTTGGTAATCAGCCTGTCTTACCTGTTCTCAATATATGTGCTGTTTTCAGTTTCTTTGCTAAAATACCCAAGGGCTCCAGCCAAAGAGGCCATATAAACACCCAGATGGATGGATTTCATAATCGGCCCAGTGTGGCGTTCTGTCTGAGGTTGAAGCTGGGATTGGCCAGCTGGAGGCGATGGCAAGACTACCTTCCAGTTTCTCCGAACCCTCCATCTGACGCTGCAAGCAGGTGTTACCTGTATTAAGCAAATCCAGCTTGCAAAATTCCTCCTGATTGCGAAAGAGAGAAATCAAGGACTGATTCCACCTGGGATTCCTTTAAATGGAGAATGTTTCTAGTCCACTTACAATCATTCCCAACAACAGATAATTGTGAGCTGCAATTTTTCAGGGAATACTCTTTAAGTGGCCAGAGGGAGAGGTGTCAACTGACTTTGTTTTCTTGACTCTCCATGGGTCCCTTACATCCCGAACCCGGTTACCTAACCCAGTGCTCAAAGAAGTCACATGGAGGTCATGCACATTCTCCAAAGCAGCCGCTCTCAAGGCTGCCTTGTTGTTTAAGCAAGTCAGAATTTTGAAGTGAGCTCCATTGTCTACGCAGGAAATCTTCTGGGTCTGTTTGTTTTTCCCTTGAGGGCAGCAGCATAAAATAGCTTTAGCATCTCTCCAAAGAGGTCTTCCTGTGTCCTAGTCCCCGGGGGCAAAGACCCCCAGAAAAGGGTTGAAATGGAAACAAATCAAAGTAAAGATATGCCAAGAGCCTTTGAAACCAGCTTTGAGAAAATAATCATTTCTGAGAGTAAAGATTTTTAAAATCTGACTTCTTAATGTTGATGTTTTACTTATGAAAATCTATCTGTGGTGCCGTTGTTTAAAACAATATCCCCACTCCATTACCGGTTTTCTCCCTCTCTTAGGCAAAACTTGCATTCCAGAAAGATATGATGAAGCCTTTGGCCCCGGCCTTCCTGTCCTCGCCCCTGGCGGCGGCGGCGGCAGTGTCCTCGGCGCTGTCGCTGCCGCCCCGGCCGTCCGCCTCGCTCTTCCAGGCTCCAGCCATCCCGCCAGCTCTCCTGAGGCCGGGCCACGGGCCCATCCGCGCCACTCCTGCCTCCATCCTCTTCGCTCCCTACTGACGTCTACGAGCCCCAGGCACTTGAGGCCAGTAGGAGAGCTGAGTAGGCAAGCCAAAAGGATTCAGCGATGTCAGCATTTCGTGTTCAGTGCCCCCGCGCAGCCACAAAATGCAGCGAGCATACCACCCCGAGCCCGACTCCAAAGAACAGATCACTAGACTCAAGAGTGCTTTTAGGGACCGCGCCTATCATTTAGGAATCTGAGCAGCACAGGCTTTATTTCCCTAGTCCCTCTCCCTGCCCGCCGTCGTCCGCCCCCCCCCCCATTCAATTTGTATATCTGAGATATTTGGTTTCTTGCAAACGTGTTGGTCAGAAAAATATATACATAAAAATATATCATTCTCTGACTATTTTTCCATGGGTGTGATCTGGCTTAGAAACAATATGGAATATTTTCCTGGCAGACTTGAAAACTAGGGTCTTCCTCACGTGTCTGTAAATAACTCTGGAATCCAACTGGGCACATTCTAGTGTGGAACAAAAACAGATGAACACAAGTGCTGCCTTGTGGACACCATCTCCCCAACGGATCGCAGCGTTTTCTTTCTGGTGTACTCTTGTTGACAGGGATTGTGTACTGTTGTAGACCCGAGTACTGTCGTATCCTGTGTAGTGCTAGATGTGTATCTCTTGTCTGAATTAAACATTTTTAGTTGCTGTGTAAATGTTAGGAAGCAAAGTAGCTTTGAATTTTCTCTTTAAGAGAACAAAAGATAAAGTAATGTATTTTCTTTATTTCACATTTTATTTGGTGATATTTAAACGAAATAGAAAGCCATATAACATAGCTATAATTACTACCTGTTTGCTCTTTTTGTTTAACTTATTTCGTAGCTTCCACACCGTTGGAGTTGCTAAGCAAATGTACACAAACAGAGCAAGAGCTTCCTAAATTGCACATGTTTGCACCTCTTGCGCATTCTGCAAGAAGACAATGAATCCATGTATTTCTACGTAATTATCTTCTTCATTTTTAACCTGTTTTCATTTGTAATGATGCTACATAATTTTGTGGCTCCCTAATGCAATAATGTACAGAAGATAAAAAATTTATAATTGAACAATTTGTCTTTCTGTTCACTGAATACGTTGCAGGTCTCGCTCCTGTGCCCCCCCCTTCTAAGCTGATGTCAACGAGACTGGAATGTTTGTGATATTGGGGGGCAAGAGGTATCATAAATCAACAAAATAGAGTGAACTCTTTTAGAGCATCTATATCTGCAATCTGTAAATGGTAAAATGTCTGTGTATTTTTTTAAATGTATCTTTTCAATAAAAGTACAAAAAATAAAAATCTGTGTTTTCAAAGTTATTTTCTCCTGAGACATCTCAAATTTGAAATCATCTGATGAAAGATTTTTCAGTAGGTGCAAAGATTGCTTCTTACATATTTAACATTTTCAGCTCTTATTTGCAGCATGTTTATTTGTCATGTTTATTCATTACTGTTCACAGCATCTGCATGAGGCAAGACTGTACTGCTGTTTTCCTTCTGAATCTCTAAGAAGTTGGGTCCAAGTTGTGAGTGTGGCCCCAAATCACAGTAGCAGCCTGCTAAAAATTTGTGACTCTGATTTTTTTAATCTTCTGTGAGGCTTCTAAATCCCTAGCCTGTCTTTCATTCGTGTCCACGGCAATTATGATATCTTTTTAGAGAATTTTATTCCCCTCTTCCTCTTTCACCTTCTCTAACAGCCCACACTTCTTTTTTTCCACCTTGTTCTGTTTTTAAGTGTAAAGATCAATACATCACTGTTTGGTCTGGTTATCTATTGCTGCTTAATGAACTACTCCAAAACTTAGTGGCCTAAAATAAAACCGTTTTATTATATCACAATTTCAGGGATCAGGAATTCCAGGAGGACCTGGCTGGGCTGTTCTTCTGTTCTACGAGGCATCTATAAGAGGTCCCGTGGTGTGGTATTCAGGTGGTGGGTGGGCTGGCCTGGAGGCCCAAGATAGCTTCACTCATATGTCTGCCTGGATGGAGATGGCTGGAAGGTTGAACTCTACTGGAACAGCCTACCAGAGGGCCTACCTGTGGTCTCCCCAGCTACATGGTCTTAGGTAGTTACAAACTAACTCAGGAATCCCAGAGAGAGCATTTCAAGAGGCCTAGATAGAAGTCAAAAGGCTTCTTATAAAATTGTCTCAAAACTCCCAGCATGTCACTTATGCTACATTCTATTGATCAAGCAAGTCACTAAGGCCAATCTAGATTCAAGGAGAAGGAAATAATTCACTTTTCAATGTGAAGAAAAGCAAAGAATTTGCGTCCATCTTTAATCTACTACCTTGTTGTAGATTTTTGAGGGGAGTGGTAACAAAGCTATTACGGATCCCCTTTTCCCCACCTTAAGCCCAAACCATGTCAATTTTTCAAAACGTGAAGAATTGAGGTGGGAATAGGACCTAAATTCTCATTTCTAAACCATCAAGGCCAGTGGATGGCAGTGCAGCTCTGACTCACGGCAATAGACGTCGTCCTCTATCAAAGAGTCTATCCAGCTGTTTGAAAATTGACCTTAATATTCTAGACTTATAACCAGGTTAGTTTTAGAGTCTAAGATTCCAGTTTGACATTCAGAATTTGGGTTTCTTGAATATGACTCATTTGAGCTCTAACCAGTACCGGTTATACCGAACCTTGGTTAGACCTTCAGACACAGCTTATAGACATCATTCTCTGAAGTAACTGTGTTTCAGTTTAACAGTTTAGAGTTTTCCATTTTTATGGATTCCAATGGCAATTATATTTCATTTCTCTTACAGCATCTTGTATCTCATGAAAGCTTATTGTACTCCTCAAAAATTTTTAAATGTCAATATTTAAATACACCCAGGAATTTACTGATTAGATTTATAGAGTTTAAGATTTTTAAAAATCACCTCAGGGAGGAAGTAGAAAAGAATAGCAATTAATTAAAATGCATGCCTCCAAAAGAAGCCATGAGTAGCTTCAAGTAGAGATTTATGAAACACTGTTAAACAGATATATCTTATCATCCACCATGATCCTGAGGTGGCAGAGTGGGTCAATCCTGAGGGGAGAGACATGTTTCAGCTAACACCCCTTCCTATGCCATTTCTAGTGGGGAAGGAACACTACTCTACCCCTCCACTTATTGGGAAAGTTAAAAAATGTGCTGCTTACTCTGACATAACCCAGGTCTGGTCTCTGTAGAATCTGAAAATTGATCTCAGGTAGGATGCCAGATAAAATATAAAACACCCAGTTACATTTGAATTTCAGATAAATAATGGATAATTTTTAGTATAATATTTTAATAAATTTTAGTATGACATTGCACATAGCATAAGTATGTCCCACAAGTAAGTATACAAAATTTGGGACATACTTATACTAAATATTTGTTGTCTATCTGAAATTCAAATTTCCGTGAACAGCCTGTATTTTTCTCTTTCTTTTTAAGGAATATTAGCCCTAAGCTAACATCTGCTGCCAATCCTCCTCTTTTTGCTGAAGAAGACTGGCCCTGAGCTAACATCCATGCCCATCTTCCTCCACTTTATATGTGGGACGCCTGCCACAGCATGGCCTGACAAGCCCAGCGTAGGTCCGCACCTGGGATCTGAACCGGCAAACCCCAGGCCGCCAAAGCAGAAGGTACAAACTTAACTGCTGCGCCACCCGGCCAGCCCTGACAGCCTGTATTTTTATTTGCTAAATCTGGCAACCCTCATCTCAGGAGCATTCCTATTCATCTCAAGTATCATGATTCTTTGGGAGATAAGTGACCTCTTGGGTGCACATTGTGAAATGCACTCACAAACAGGCAGAGGAAGGAACTTGCAGTAAGTGAAAGTCGATGATATATTGACATTGGATAGGACCAGGACAGGGGAAAATGTAGCTACTGAAAGTTGTACTCGTACCTGTTTAACAAAATTAAACTATTATAAAAGCAAAGAAACAAAATTTTCATTTGTGTTATGCACCAAACACATCATCCCTGATTTGTTCCTTCTCTGCCCTAAAAGAATTCTTATTCTCTGGAGCAGAAATGGTTACGGTCATGTAGAATTTTTCTTCCAGAAAGTGCTTCAAGGAAAATACACCACAATTAACGTAGCTGAGAAAGAGAACCGAGGGATTGCTGCTGTAAAAAAAGAAAGGAGAAAGAGCTGAGAGCACAACAGGATTTCCACCTGATGCTCTAAAGACGCCCCTTGGGAGTCTCAAGAGACTCACTGAGGAGAATGAGTTTGAAGATGTTTTGAGAAATGGGTGCCCACTGCCTGGGGTGTCATCAGAGAGAGGGATCATGGCAGAAGGGGAGAGATGGCCAGAAACTCTTTGACGGGAAGATTAAGCCAGCATCAAGACATGTACTCTTGATGAGCACAGCATCTTCAAGTAACAGGTAGAAGGATTTCATTTCACCTCTGTAGGTCTGCTGCGTGGATTCTGGCCTCTCTTTACAGTGTTCCTTCCAACAGATGTTCCTCCCAACATTGCTTTGTTAATATGATAGCCCTCAATTAATATTAGAAGTGATATGGCTTCCTTGGGAAAATACCAGTTTCCAGTACCTTGGTGGGTTGAGAAGAAGCTGTGTGTACAAGAGCAAATTCCACAGGGGATGCTCATCTTTGCCTCCTTCCTTCCTCTAAGTAATTACCTCCATGGGGGAATTCATCAGGGACGTGATGCATGTTCTCAGCAACCACGCAGTGTGACTGTAGGGAATTGCCCTGACTTCTTTGGCTAAAATTTCTAAAGGCAGAGTGTCACTATAATGTACTCTTCCACTCCTCACTAAGTGCCCAAACCGCATCGAACCTCTTGTTGTCGGATCCCTTCTGTGGATGCAATGAAAATATCTTCATGTCGTGTTATTCATTTTAAAGAAGTCAGTTATCTACAGATGACCACACAAGCTTGTCACCAAGCGCCTGCTTTTCATTTTTAGTATAGTGAAAAAATTAGGATAGAGGAGAATTAAAGAAGAATAAGCCATAATTTACACTCAAAAACCCTGAATTCAAACCCTGGTCATGTCATACACTCATTAGTTCTGTGATCTTATGTCAGATAATGATTTTATGTAATTTTCTCAGAGTCTCAGTTTTTCACTTATATAAAACAGATATAATGGTACCGACTCACAGGGCAAGTTCTGAGAAGCAAATAAGATTAAACATGTAAAAATGTTTCTGTAAACTATAGCTTGCTATACAAATCTTCACAATTAGTGGATAAATAAAATCAATTTTTCTCACTTTAAATTTCTAAATTTTAAGTAGGATTCTCTCAAATTAGCCAATTTTGAGTCTTTACCATTAACCTAGGCTCAGAGAAAAATACATCTGTAATGGAGAAGAAATAATAAATTCATTAATTATAAGTTTGTGCCCCTATTCATGAAGGTATAACTCAAACAGAAGTAACCCTAAGATAATTGAGCCAAAGTAAATGCAAAGTGTTTGCATATCACAAATATGTTTGAATTTTATGTCTCAAATTCCATATAATAAAAACAGCATTTCAGGTTCTAAACAAATCAAGAACTTCATTATGTTGTAAAAAAATTACAACTGTTATTATAAAAAAATTTAAAAACTCCTTTTTGATGCAAAAAATTTAAAAACAATATAAAGAGGATGTAAACATACAAGACAAACTAAGAAAGATATTTACAACCCATGTGACATAAAAATTTTCACGTCCTTATTATACAGAGAACTCATATAAAATGAGGTGGGGCAACTTTTTCAGAAAAGAAAAACAATCCAATACAAAAAGAGGCAAAAAGGCAATCCAGAAAAGACAAAATATATACAAATGCTTAATAAATGTGAAAATAATACAAATGAAATGAACATTTCTTGATCTAGCATATTGCCAAAAAATTATAAATTTTCTAAACCTTGTATTGGTGAGAGCGGGGCAATGGACACATTCCTGTGCCGTTGGTAGTAATGAAAATTGCTTCAACTCTTCTGGAATGATGGTTGGTCATACATATTATCATGTCAATTACCATAACCTTTGGCCCAGGAATTCAACATCCAGGATTTTATCCTAAGATATTAATCCGGTAGATTTAAAACAATTTATACACAAGTATGTTTCAAAATATTGAAAAAATGTACATTCAAAGGGAATGAGTAAATAAATTATGGAACCCATATGGAAACAGCACAACTATTTAAAATGTTGAGATAATTCTGTAATTATTGTCACGAAAGGATGTCCATGATATGTGTCCAAGTGAGGGAAATAAAAAGTTACAGAACATGTTGAGTATGACCACATTCATATCAAATTTT